TCTTGAGCAATGTTACTTTCTCTACATTAGTCAATATACATACACACTATACAACACACTCTCTCACACACACACATATCCTTCAATGTTTTCAATTTACCAGTACAATACACATTGGATCATGGTGTAGGATGGGCTGCTAACCTACACAACCAGTTGTCCAGAGCAGAACAATTGGGTTATATGAATATGGTTTCATGGCAAAGAAGGGAGTTTAATTGTGAGGTAAACCCAGCATGAGTAGGTTTCCAGAATTCATTCTTTGCTCTTTTTTTTTTAGGGATCCTCTCCAAAGGCAGTGCTAGTAAAACAGCTTTGTTGGAGATGAAATGGGAGGTCAGTTTGATGTTGGGATAAGTTGTTTAACTTGTGTAGTTCCAAAAATATGTTGATATAATTTACTTGGACTTTAGTAAGGCATTTGATAAAGTAGACCATAAACTACTACTTGATAAAATAGAAAAAGGTGGGTTGGACAGCATCACTACCAGATGGATTTGTAACTGGCTGACCAACCACACTCAACGTGTAGTCCTCAAAGGAACTGCATCAACTTTAGGGAAATATGCAGTGTGGTACCCTAAGGCTCTGTTTTAGGCCCAGTTCTTTTCAACATCTTCAACAATGATTTGGACGAGAGGATAGATGGGGAACTCATCAAATTTGTAGATGACACCAAGCTGGCATAGCCAACACTCCAGAAGATAGGCTTAAGATACAGAAGGAACTTGACAGACTTGAACATTGGACACTATCTAACAAAGTGAAATTCAATGGTGAAAAAAGTAATAATACCACTTTATGCTGCCTTATACTGCATCCAAATTTGGTCACCATGATGTAAAAAAGATGAGAAAGAGTGCAGAGAAGAGCAACAAAGATGATTAGGGGATTGGAAGCTAAAACATATAAAGAATGGTTGCTGGAACTGGGTATGTCTAAACTTATGAAAAGAAGGACTAAGGGAGACACGATAGCAGTATTCCAATATCACAGGGGTTGCCACAAAGAAGAGGGATTCTTCTTTGTGGCATTCTCCACAACACCTAAGGACAGGGCAAGAATCAATGGGTGAAAGCTAATCAGAGAGATAAGCAACTTAACACTAAGGAGAAATTTCCTAACAGTTAATCAATGGAACAACTTGGCTCCAGAAGTTGTGAATGCTCCGACACTGGAAATTTTTAAGAAGAGATTGGATAACCATTTGTCTGAAATGATGTAGGGCATCCTGCCTAAGCAGGGGGTTGGATTAGACCTCCAAGGTCCCTTCCAACTCTGTTATTCTATTCTAAATATGTATCTTTCTGACTTTTTGATTATGGCCAATTTTTCTAGCAAATCGAGTATATAATTTGTTGTACACCAGCTTATTATAAATAGACTTTATTTTGAAGAAAGGAACTCTGAAGAAGGTTCTAATGCTGGGAAATACAAGGGGATAACCAGGAGCCAGGTGGATAGATTACATTGCAGTAGCAGTGAGTGCTAAGATTAGGATTAGGTTAAAACAGATCAACATGATGAAAAGTTGTGCGGTTGTCAAGAGTTGACAATAACTAGAGGACATGTAATTGATTAATCAGTCAAAAAGTAGCAGAGTAGTAATGATGTGAAGAACTGAAATCCAAATACAGCATAGACATGGAATAAAATAGCATACTACTGTCAGTTCTAAAATAAGTCTTTAAAATCTTCTGTGAGTAGGCTTAGTTGCCAAAGATTATTGAGAGACATTCATACAATTTTCTCAACATTGTTACAGAAGTGCTTTGCCATTTCCTTCTTTTAAGATGCTTTGGAATTTTGTTTTGTTTACTTCTACATTTTTCTAGTCTCAGAATTTCCTTGTGATTTTCCATCCAAGTATTAACCAGATCAAACTCAGCTTAATTTTTTTTATACATTTGCAAAGGTCAGATAGATGCCACCATTTGCTGTAATTAGGATTCAACAAGGAATGATTTTATAAAAATTGTGCAAATACATAATGCAAAATATGCTATTACATATGATATGCCTTCGTTTACTCACAATTTTAAAAGTACAAGAATTTTGCCAAAAAGTTCTCCATTTTTTACATTATACTCTTTTATTTGCTTTTATGTTTCAGAAATAAATACATTTATTTTTGTAGCACTAAACAATAAACAAAGCTTCCAAATGCTGTCTCTGCGGGCTTTCAATAAAGTGCATATCACTAATATGTACAATAAGAAACCTTTTGAATGATCAAGAATACACATTATTTAAGAGTAATTTTACTGTATATATAAACATTAATCACACAGAAACTGCTTTTAGAAAGAGTAGGGAACCTGCACCACTTATGTTCTTTAATGTATTTTAGGATATATGATTTAAATAAAACCATTGAAATTAATTCCTTTTAAATGTATTTAAGAGGAGTGCAACATTTTTATATGTTAAATATTAGTACCCAGTTATGAAGCTTATCCTCAAATAATGCCATTACTTAAGATAAAAAAATACCTTTTATTAAAATGTTAAAAGCCTTTTGAGGGTGGGGGCAAAATGTTTGCCAAAATATGATACTGCTTCTTAAGATAAATGCAGTAGTACCTCGGTACAGATCCTTAATTGGTTCCAGGAGACACAATGAATATCAAAAATGATGATTATCAAAAAAAAATTTCCCATAAGAAATAATATAGTGAATCATAAGGCAGTTGACATCAACAAGTTCTAGCTTGTGCATTGAGTACCAAACAATGAGTACCACGACATAGTTTTCACATCAAAATGTGATGCATTTCAAAGCAGTTGAATACCAATATACTACTGAAAATTCTTGCCACAACAAAGAATATCCAAGCAGCTACTGTAAAAATCAATCTATATAATATACAAATACTATATAGACACTGAAATATTGTAGTCATGCTATATAGTGAGGTAAACAAATTGAAGTTCTTTAGATGTTTAGGACTGTAACTTCCACAAATGTCAGCTAGTAGGGCAATTGAAGAGGGGAATCTAAAGCCACAGCACTACAGAGCTTCATGTAAACATCCATTTTCGTTTTGGCAATCTAAGAGGCTGATTTTCTTTAAATGCTATCACTATTGTTTCCATAAATAATACTAGACAGCTAATACTTCCTGCTCCTATTCTTCCCAACAACCAACAGATTGTGAAATGAGTTGTGTGTGTGTAATTAGACCAAAGTTACTCAGCCACCTTTTAAAACTGGTAGAGAATTCAATTAGAACAAGGCATAATTTAGTTGACAAATGAAATTGCCTGTGTCTTCTTTTCCAATTCCAGTCCATGTTGTATCACATCCCTTTCTCCTGTCCCCAACCCCCACACACTATAAAACATTTTTTAAGAACCAGTATTATAATTGCTGAGCTAGGAATGGGAAGATGCAGGATCAAATTTGCTCTCAAATGTGAAAGATCACTGGGTGACTTTGGGCCAGTTAGCCTTTCAGCCTAACTTATTTCAGATTTTTGTTTGCAAGGAAAAGCTGGGGAACATTCCAAGTACGCTCTCTTGAGCTCCTGAAATTGCCCCCTCAATTTAAGGCAATCTTTTCTCTGAAATTGAGACATTATATAGTCCCTGATCTATACAATTTATTCCTCTGTAATATCTAAAACAGTCACCTCCGATGGCTTACTAACACAATCCATCGGTGGAAGATTTTTAGAGTGGTTCTAATGGGACCAAGGGAATATAGGCTAATATAATTCCTAATTAAAGAGTGCATATAATATATATTCATTTATGCTCCAGATAGGAAACAATCTAATAGAATTATTCGTATAATTTCATTGCATTTCATAACTGGGTCCTTATATACCCTTTAAAATGTATATTTCTGATTAAATTGTTTCAGTTCAAAGACAATTATACAATACAGCTTTTAAATGATACTATTTTAGCCATTCTGAAGTCTCTAAAGTTATGTCCAAAACTCATAATAGCATATAGATATTTTATTTTTCATTTGCCAAATACTTCACAGTCTGCCACAGTTACAGAACAAAAACAATTTTCATTACAAAAATAGTTACCACCTTTTAGCATTTCCAGACATTAATTATATACATTTTGATAAAAGGAGCACTAGTGGTTAATTAGTGAGGATTTTAAAAATGAAGTCAATTCAATAAGTTAATATGTTCTAATAAAAATTATCAGGCTGTCCCAATTTTTATCAATTAAACAGATGTTAAACAGTAATTGCCATAGTTGTTATTTCTTTGAAACAAGATTTGATGCTAATAAATTTTGTAATTATAATTTTGTAAATGCATTTCTACTTCACAGGAAGTAGGGTTATGGTAACATTTCAAATTTATGATAACATTTTGAATCTAAAGATAACTTTAGAACCAAGACATTCAAGATACAAATAAGAGTACAATAACTTTTTTTCTTCAGCAAGGGATTAATGTTACTTGCATAACCTTCATAATTACTTGTTTTCTCCAAGTATATGATTTATTCTCAACAATTTAATTTCTGAAGTCTGACAATTTTCTATTTCAAATATGAAGCTAAATTATGGCTCAGTGCAACTTCATTCAACTGAGGAGCTGCCAATTATCAAGTCTATAGAGATTCAGTGAACTGGGTATGATTGTCCCAATTTCTTTTTCAGGACACAACTGTGCTTTCTTGTTTATTCTTTGAAGTTGTTTTGCTTCTCATTCAAGAAGCTTCTTCAGTCACCATCCAGTCAGAACTGAAGAAGCTACTTGGATGAGAAGTGAAAAATCTTCAAAAAAAAACCAAGAAAGCACAGTTGCCTCCAGAAAAAGCACATTTGAGACTGCCATTTATGAACGTTTCCTTCTTAGGTTGCTCAATAGCATGGTCATTGCTGAAAATTCTGGGAATTGAAGACTACGAAGTTAGAGACTACTGGGCTAGAACGAATGGCTCATTTTTGTGGGAAAGACATATACAAATCCTAAACTTTGCCACATTCTTGTATGTAAAAAGTTAAAAGTCATTCTTTGTTTTGAGTGAGTGAATTTATTCAAGCATGTTCAGTACAATTACAGGATAATGCAGCAATGTGTATTCTGTACACATAAAATTCATAAGTTTAAAAATGCAGAATAGTGCTATTATATATTAAATTTATTCATAAAATTTATGAAATTTATTCATATAATTTCACTTTCTGAAATAAGCCTCTAGCTAATATGCATCATTAAGATGGCTGTGATGTATTACTTTTGCTCCCAATTTATATCAATAAAATTAATGTTTTAAGTCCTGGCATGCATTTAAATGTAACCACAAGAAAGTTCTTTGACTATTATTTTAGAAAAAAGAGATTATATTTAAATTCTGTGTCTCTGTTTTAGAATATGTACTAGACAATTTCAAATAATGGGTTTGGATTTTGATACATTTTCTCAAATAAATTCAGTGGATATTTTGGTTTATTTTAACTCATTTTCCATTCTATCAAAATGTAATGTATTAAAATTGTGAAACCATTTTCAGGTAATGCTATCAACATTCTAACCAAACTGAAGATTTGTAAAAACACACAATTGCAAGAATTTCTGCACCAGTCCTTTTAATCCAAATAATCATGTTACTTTGAATTACTCTGGTCCATTAAAATGATAAAAACCATTTACTGCTATCTACCCTCATCTTCCCTCCTCAATGTTGCACTTATGGCTTGCAAAGTAGAACATAAATCCAATGAAACCTTTAGTTAATATAGTGATGTGTAAATCTTGAAGTTACCTGTTTAATTTCTGACTACATTTTATACTTAATTAAAACAGTGCTATTTTGTGTGTTAATTTAAAAATGGTAGTAATGGTGATGAAAATTAAAGAATCATATGAAAAATGTGTTTGTTAGTAAGGTTTTCCTTCAAAATTAAGTTTAATAACTTTTTCCATTTTAGAGTCGTTAATATTCTGTAACCATAAGAGCACTGATTAGTGAGGTTCAAACCATTAGCTTATATTTATCTCATACCAACGAAAGCTAGTTTTATGATTTCGGTAAATCTATTTATGAATTAATTGCAAAAACAAAAGTATTAAAAATTATGACATTTCCCATTTACAATTGCTAAATGGGATTCAAAATTATGCCTCAATACCATATCAAACATAATGACATACCTGTTAGGAAAAAATGCATAATAAAAAAACAGATATAAACCCATGTAAGATTCTTTCCAGTGTAACTCTTATCAATTATTATTCCTACATAAAACATATTGACATTATTATATGCTTGGTTATTTTGTATTTTCGGAGACTTTTTATATGTTTCAGTGAGAGGTACCCATGATGTAAGCCAAAAAAGGACACGTCTATGTTAAGTGTTTAATGGTAACTAAATATATTAAAATATTTTCATAGAGTAAACCTTTCAGACAAGTTTGAGACTTTCAATAGTTTTTAATAATTAGATTTTTTTGTGTTTTTAACAGACATTTTTAATTTTTTTTTATTTTTATTCAGCAGCACACCCCAAATGTGTCTAAGTCAAATGCTATTCCTCCAATTCCATCCAAGTTTTCAAGCAAATTATTGGACTTTGTGAAAAATGAAAAACTTCCACCTGAAAAACAATTTTCAACAAACAAAATGCCAACAATGTAAACATTGATCTGTCCTAGGGTTATTACACAAGCATGTGTCATCTGATGCTACAATGGGGTGCAAATTATTTCTGTACAATAGATATTCAGATTAGATTTCAATTAAAACAATCAAGTTCTGAAATTACTTTATCATTAGTCTAAGAAATACAAAAACATGTGTTGGGAGAGTAACATATCCTTGTTTGCATATAGGCAAAAAATCATGGATATAAAATGTTGTTCTCAATCTTTCCTGCTACCCTTGGTTTAATGGATTGACACAGTACTTCCACATTTATAGTAGAAAGGTACAAGTTATTAAGTGTGGATATATACAGTTCATCCTTTTTTTTTGTTTACATCACAAAAAATAAGGAAACCTCCCAATCTGCTACTTTATGTACATCAACCTCTAAGCAGTATCATGTATAATTAAATTTCAACTTGGATGAGAAATGAGAAAAAACAATAGTTGTGGGTTTTCTTTCTGCACATTCAATTTCTGGTCCTTTTACTGAAAAGGCTGAACAACATTTACATATTCAGTCTGTCCCAACTTATAAGTTGTATTTCCACCACAGTCTACATATTGGTATCGTTCTTGAGATATTTGTTCTGAGTGGCCAAAGTAGGAAGTGGTCACAGTCACTCTGTAGCAAAATAGAAAGGGAGAGATGTGGAGATATATTATTATATTAAACAGGATAAGAAAGGAATCTTAACAAAATGCTAGACTCTTAAAAATATCCTGTAGTAATACAAATGTTTTGGAAGTTAACTTTTACCATAAAAGAAAATATAATACATACTTACTGCATCATGACAACTATATTATGCACTTTGATAGAGATTAAAGTACAGAAATCGCTGTAAGAAAAACATTAATATTAGTGTACAGTATAGTAATTACATGTATGAAAGCTTTCCAGAAGTCAATTTCAAATGAACTTTGTTAAATCTATACATATACACACTTGATCTTAGCCAAAAGGCCAAGGGGATTAACTTAACTGTTTATTGAAACAGCCCAACTAAACTAGCTATGCTCTTCCTTTCACTCCCCTCCAAAAAAGAAAAGAAAAAAATAAGAAACATATTACAAAAAAAATTCTGTGCTATATCAATCCGAATCTTTCAAACATCAATACAGCATTTCAATGCAGTGCTAATAGCCAGATCTTGAATTATTTAGAGGCACACAGCACCAAGAATGATAAGAAGATAGCATTTAGAAAAACAGAAATCCTTCTGTAAAGCCTGTGTTCCAGGCTACTGCAATCCTTTTATTTAAAAAATAGGTATTTGGTGTGATATTTTCATCTTGTACCCATATTTTATGTATCAAATATCTTGGCTGCTCATCTTACCACAAGATAACTCTGGATGACTTACAATATTAAAACATACATTGAAACTGAAAACACAGGATACTTACTACATGTAACTCATTTCATCTTGTATTACTGTGGGTACCATATAATCAATCTGAAAGGAAAAACAAGAACAGAAACAGTCAGGATAAATATCTAGAAAACTACTATCAAATACATGTGATCCTTGCTTAATAACCACATTCAGCAACCATTCAAACTCATGATGGCATTGAACAAATGGAATATATGACTTGTCTTTATAGAGTTCTGGGAGCAGCATTCCCACAGTCACAACTGTATCTGGGTACTTGGATCACGATTAAGATATTGCAATGCCCCAATTATCATTTGCCCCCTTATTTGTTAACTTTCTACATGTAGTCAATGAGGAAGCAGGCAGGACGTCTGCAAATGGCAACCATGTGATGTCCTTGCTTAATGACCTTATTTAATGATGGTAACTGGAAAGTGCTGGAATTGCTATCGCTAAGCAATGCAATCACATGACATTGCACTTTACAATCATGTTGCTTAGCAATGGAAATTCTGAATCCTAATTGCTGTAGTTTACTGTCTGTAACCCACCTATAATTGTGATATGCTCTGTGATTCCCAATAATTCTTACCTGTTTCGTATCCAGTGGTCCAATGTGGGTATTATTGTTCAGTCGTGCCTTTCCAATCACCGTCTTTGAAAACTGTACCTGGGCAGTAATGTTATCAACTTCAACAGAATAATAATTGTTATTGGTTATGTTCAACGTGTTCTGCAAAAGAAATAATTCAGGACTCTAGATTAAATGATGCTTTAATGCAATCTTAAACAGCAATATAAATTATCAACCACTGAAGGAAGTGAAATGTTTTCAGCTAAGATCTTACCGTAATATTTAAGTATATTATGCGTCTTTGTGCTTCATAATCAACATATACTGATTTGACTCCAGCATATTGTACATCGACAGATCGAGGAAATAAGAAAAATACTGCCAGTCCAGAAAGTAGTAAGCATCCAATTACAGAAGCAGTCACATAAAGTTTTCTGCAGAGAGAAGAGAGGCTCTTTTAAAGTCTCAGTGTTATCTTTATACCCTTCCTTTTCATTGCATGAATTTTTAGTTATTGGACATGCTCCAATCAGTATGTATTTCCAGTGCACATTCTAAGGTTAATTGCAAAATTAAAATCTGCCTGCAGACACATGTACATAGGCATGCATGCATTCCTCATTCTGCCTAATCTCCAGAGAATTAATAAGAACAAAGCAAAGTTGCCAAGGCAAAAAGCAATAAGCAGGCACAATCAATATTAGCATAGTACATTCCTTCCCTACAGCATCTATGATTTTCCCAGCAATCTCTTGGTTTTTAATATTTGGAGAATGAAGGCATGGTTATGGATTAGCAAAGATAGAACAGGTGGAATTCTAGAATGCTGTAACCCATGGTAACCCTCCCACCTCAAACCAAATCAAGGCAACATGGCAAAGCTCCAAGTCTAATAGCAATTTCTACTAATAACAAGCATCAGCAGCTCAAGCAATGCAACCCAACCCGTTTTGTAGGCTATGTTAACAGAAAGCATTTTGATTATTAGTACAGAGCAATATTTTCCAATGCTAAGAGGCAAGCAGAAAAGTATTAATTTTAAATATTCTGACAGTAATTTGTTTAGTCAAAGCCTAAAGGAATTTACCAATATCACATACAATCATTACTATTGTAACTTACGTTCTTCTTGGCCTCAGTCTCTGATCACTATACGGAATCAAGGCAACAAGCTGATTTTCCTGTCCTGGAATACAATCCAGCATCCTGTCATTTCTACCCTCAATTGCTGCTGTTATAAAGCCAGTAAAACATGCCACATGATATGCTGATGAAGCTGAAATTTCTGTAACAAAGGTCTGCATAACATACACAACTACCACAGACTAAATTAAAAAAAAACGTTTTTCAAAAATAGCAAAATTATAAAAAGGCAGATATTTTAAAAGAAACTGTCACATAAAATATTTTAGGGGAAACAGTTTTTTTATAACAAGCTATGAAATTACATCTTTTAAATCACTGCCTTGCAAAGGTTTGCTCAACAGCTGCACCCTCTTTTCAGCACTACTAAAATACTGTAATTTTGATAATAACTGAAAGTTCTTGTTAATCAATGCATATTATATGGAGGTTAGTACATGTTAGTATAGATTGACCTCACTTAACAACGATTCTGTTTAGTAACCATTAGATGTTATGATGGTGCTGAAAAAATAACTTTTATGATCATCATAGTATTCCATGATCATGTGATCGCCATTTGGACATTTCACAGCTGGCTTCCGACAAGTAGAGTCAATGGAGAAGCTAGGATAAAATTGCAAGTAGCAATCACATGATGTCTTACTAAACTAATATGTTGCTTAACATTTCAGTTATTGGTTTCATTATTGCCACAAAACAATACTGAGTACAGACTAAGCAGAGAATATGTTTAAAGCAACCCTGAATGTACAAGATAATTTCTAATTTTTGCTTCTTCTTCTTCTAGTATAGCTGACTAAGAACATTATATACAAAGAAATAAGCCAAATTCAGGTTCTGAAGTCAATCAAATTTATGCTCAGTAAAAACTAATACCAAAACTGAATCTTCTGGAATGTTTTGATTTTCTAAAATAGTTATATTATCTGGAAATTTTATGTTGTTTGTATCATATGATACAAAAGAAAAAAGAAAAAGCAAATCCAAGGAAATTAAACTGTAATTTTTATACTATTATTATATACAAAGACAGGCTATCTTAAGAAAACAATATAAAGACTGCAAATGAAAGCAACATGCATTTACAACTATAGCTATCACAGAAATTGCTTCTGACTTTACACGTACCACGTGGTATTCTCCCAGTGCCCTGACAAGTGGGACATGTGACACTATCTCTTCCTGTAAATTCAACATATGGAAACTGTGACACATCTCCATTTTTTCCATCTTCACTATGAGAGTCTGAGTGCATTAATCCACTTTTCATGTTATCAGAGGATGAAGCCCCATCATCTTTCAAAGCAGATAAAGGCATGGAAAGAGATTTCCCCATGTCTGTTGACAGAAAAAAGTTAATAAAAGCAAACCGTAGACTCTAAATCCATTTATTACAGCAGGATTTATTTTGAGGACAATTGATAGAATATTTTGACAACTCTTGCAGAAAGAGAAGTTCCACCAAGTCGAAAACAAATTAAAAAGTTCTGACTCATTTGTGAAATTGCAACAAGTTGTTACTTGGGAATCTTACCAAGCAAATTTATAAATAAGACCATGAGTTGCAGTGGTGCAGTGGTTAGAGTGCAGCACTATAGACTACTTTTGCTGATTGCCAGCTGACTGGGACTGAAAAACTATTCCCTTGTAAAGAACACAATATTATCAAAAATAATTTGCTTGACTTGGGCTATGTTTACTTCTATATTTTCAAACATGTTTTAAATACATTTAACAGCTACAGCAAATAACCAATTATGTGGTTATAAGCTGCAACAAAGTCTGAAATCCTAATACACAGTTGAAAAAGAGTATTAATTTATGGTGGATTTCCAAATGAGAACTCTTTTTTTCAGTTGAACCTCTACAGTATCTCTCATTAGTTATCTAAAAAAAGAACATAACAAAATGTAGAAGCCGCCACATTTAAAATACAACTCTGTAATATGGTCTTTGTTTCTGGAGATACGTCTCAAATAAATTAATCACCATTTCCTCCACCATTTTTCCATGCCCAAATTCCAGAAAATATTGTGAATCAGCCCTGGTTCACAATACTATCAAGCACGCATTTTTAGGCAACTGGGATTATTTCCCATAACTCTACTGTGAAAAAAAGTTTATATTTGGAAAATACTTCTTTAAATTAAAGAGTGATTATTACTATTCACAGAAACATTAATTGGTATACTTCTCTGATTTCTTCAGCAGTAGCGCAGTAAATTTCAAGATTACATAATTCCCAAATCCCCTATAGAAGTAGACAGACATTTTAATAATCTGAGCATAAATATCAGCATTAAGAGATTTTATACGGGCCTAAATACAAGTTATCTGTTTGACTTGGAAAACATCCTTCAAAGTTATTTGTATGGTATGAAAAAATGATAATCTGCTTTGAAATGGCATTCAAGAAAGAACTAAACAGGAAAGAATTATGACATGACAAATCTAGTATTTATTACTAATAATAATAACAACAGCATGTTTTTCCTACAAGAAAATGTAGTGGCATCAAAGAAAGTGAACAAACATTTATGGCATTAGACGGATGTTTGCCCATAAAATCATGGGTTTCAAATTGTCATTTTTACCCTGCATTTATTTCTCTGTTCCCTTTTTACCCATAATTTCTCACCTATAGCTACTGATCTCAAGACCCTGTAAGGGCTGATGTCTCCCCCAAGTCCACCTAATAAAGACAAAGAAAAAAAAATTACTAAAGACTTTGCACAAGGCTGAAGCAGCCAGTTTTATTTATGAAGTGTATATATATTACATGAGTACATTTTTCTTACTCATACTATATTTGGGTATTCAAGAACACTAATATACAAGTACTATATAAAAGGTATTTATTGGCATCAAAGATTTGGCTATGGAAGCCACAGATTTGGCTTGTTCAAGGATTTAGAATTCTAGATAGAAGTTTGTTTTATACCACTTCAGCTGTAATAGTAAATTGGTTTACCTTCTCTCAAAAGATCACAATTTCACAGAGTAATGCTATAAGATTAGACAGCACAGCCCTAGGCATTAGTCACTCAAAACTATGTCGTCTGAGAATGTGCATGTAAGATTGCAAATGGTAGAGAAAACAAATATCCCTATCTATTGTGGTAAATTGTTATTGATGCTACTCTCCTATATTTTGACCTGGTCTATTTATACCAGTATCAATTATCACTGGTGCAAGTTTAGTTTCACAAAACTAGTTTAAAATCCCATGCACCTAAATATAGTAAAACTTTCTTTTGAATAAATGCTAAGGAGTATTCATTCTATGAATTTATTTTAACAGTTTATATGCTATCCAGTGGTAGTTCATAGGAGAATAAAACAAAACATTCAATAACCCTATAAAAGGAAGGGCTATGCCATAATTTCCTTAAATAAACTGTCATCATTTGCGGAAAACCATGATTAATAAATCACTATAATTGGGTTCGCACAACATTGTCAGCAGAAACCAAACAAATTGCTTTGTGTTGTAACACAAAAGTGTGAACCCAGAGAATTGCTAGATCATGCTAATCAAAGTGAAAGCAACAATGTTACAGTTGATTGTGTCAACTAAGTCCCAAGCACTGAAGATTGATAAGCACATTTTCTATGCTCTAGGACAGTGGTCTCCAGGTGGCTGAGGAACTCTGGGAGTTGAAGTCCACAAGTCTTAAAGTTGCCAAGGTTGGAGACCACTGCTCTAGGACACCGGTCCCCAACCTTTCCATCTTTTACTGTGTTATTTTACATTGTATCTTTACTATATTTATAAATAATTCAAGGTAGTGAACATACCTAATACTTCCTCCTATTTCCTCCCCACCCCAACAATCTTGGGTGTTGCACTATTTTCTTTATATGTCCGCCTTAAGACTGCTTATGATTTTTTTTTTCATTTTAATAATGTTCTTAATTTTTAAATTGTGAATCACCATCAGAATTGGCCTCCTAATTGCTAAAATAAAGGTTATCATGCCATCACTTGCAGAAGCTCAGCCTTATAATATCATCTTTACATGTAGATTAAGGTGTGGAATGATCCTAATTCCCAGTGTACACAGACTACTGTGTTCAAACAACTTATATTATTTAAGCATTGGGAAATGGTATTCTTTTTAAAAAGGGGAAGAGACCATAAGAGCTTCGGTGGCGCAGTGGTTAGAATGCTGTACTGCAAGCCATTTCTGCTGACTCTTAGCTGCCTGCAATTTGGCAGTTCAAATCTCACCAAGCTCAAGGTTGACTCAGCCTTCAATCCTTCCTAGGTGCATAAAATGAGTGGATAAAATGAGGACCCAGATTATTGGGGGCAATAGACTGACTCTGTAAAACTGCTTAGAGAGGGCTGTACAGCACTGTAAAGTGGTATATATGTCTAAGTGCTATTGCTATATGTATTATCCACTCATTATATAACCAATCCATCTTTCTTTCATAACTGGGGAGATAGGTTTGCACTCTGGTAGCAAAAGAGTTTTTCTTCTTGTCCCTTCCTTTCCTCTCTTTCCAGCCATCAACGACTAGGAGATAATGACATAGTCCATGTTGATGTATGAAGTAAATGTGCAACCAAAGTAGATTCAGAACTAAGTAAGCAGAAAAACATTATCTCCTGCTGTCTTGCAATAGCTGAGGATTTTTTTTCTTCTACTTTTTATGTTCTGAGGGGAAGACACTAACTCTGACTTAAGCAACGGAAGTGCAGTGCAGTAATCACTTCGGAACCAAAGGTCATTTCAAAGTATGTCTTAGCTATAAAAATACAAAGTTAACACAAGGACATAAAGCCATAAAATCAAGATCATATCTGAAACATACAAGGCCTCAGAGTAACTGAGGAAACCTAAAAAATGACTTCCCTCTTTGTCCCATTGAAGTAGATAAATGCTGACAGAATTATCTTCCTAGATATGGATGTTAACTAGTGGAAAGCAATAATGCTATAATCATCATGACCTCACTTTGCAAACCCAGAACTCCCTTGTGGTTTATAATCATTATGAAATAATTTTAGGTTTGGGGAATTGTCTCCAGTAAAAGAGAGAAGGAAGACTGCAGGAGCCATGATTTCATAACCCAGTCTACTAAGACCAGCAGATATGTAAATAAACTAAAATTAGAACTATATAAACCTGTCTTAAACACACACACCCTTCCCCGAAGTAAGTCGTTTCTTTGCTACAAAAAGCATCTTCGGGTGATAGAGCTTCTTCCAGGCCTAAAGTACAGCAAGTAACTCGCATTGCTAGTAAACAATATTAAGATGGGCTGCTGGGAGAATGAATTCAAAGAAAAGGAGCTGGGGAATCAAACGAACAAGGGCCCTTTTTCAAAGCCAAATCATCGCCTGCAGAATCAAATCATCACAGGGGGAAAATGGCAGCAGATGCCTTTTTGCGCGGTGACTCAGAAGTCATTCTTGTTGAATTTACAGATTATTCCCCAAGGTGTTTGGGCACGCAAGCTCAAATCGCCAAGATGTTTTTAAAGACTTTCCACCCTAATACACAGCCATTTTATTTGCATTATTTGCCAAACGGACTGCTTTCACCCTTGTCCAGCAAACCACGTTCACCTGGACCGCAGTTTCTCTCTGTACGTACCTAAAACGGGATTTCTCCCGATGTCGCGCAGCTCTTTCCCTAATCGCCACCATGGCGCGCGCGCCTATGCGCTGGCACCCAATTCCCACCCGCCGCCGCCACCATCGCAAACCAGGCTCGTGATTCTGCCCTGAGCAACACGTCGCCGCAGCAAAGCAAGACCTTACCAGCAGCCCTCAAAGCAACACGCTTCCACCGTATTTCCAAGCGTCCAAGGTTATGATTATGACTACTATTTGCTCCGCAGGTTTCCTGGGCTCGGAGCTCACAAACAGCTCCCCATCAAGTTTCACCAGGATGATAGGAGTGAGCATGCGCGGTGGCCGATTCTGAAGCCCTACACCTTTTTTTGCCCTTACTTGGGGTCCTTTTTTCTTGCAGACGGACATGAAACAAATATATAGTAAAACAAGAAGGGGTGAGATGGTCCTGGGCTGTGCTATTTACTATTTTATATCAAAACACAGTTTATGCTTGGGGAGAGAACAGTTGCAAGGCAATGTGAAGTGTGGGCGACAAAGCTGCAACGATGAGAAACAGGCTCAGTTGTGGATAAGGAGCATGCTCAGATTCTCCCTTTGAAGTAGGCTGTCGCTTTGCCGGTAGCAAACAACAAGCTAGGATAAAATGCCGCGGTCACCATTCTATTTTTACCCCCTTTTCTAGCAGCACTGCCAAGCACATCGCATTTCTTCCCCTTTTACAAAATATTTGTTCCGGTCGATAAGAGCCAGCATATGAAATACAGAAATCTTCGCCCGGTGTGAAACAAACCTCAATAGTCTGATTGCAATTACTTTTTGCTGCAAGCCCAGGTTTTCTGCGACCAACAATCTTTTCATCATTTCCAATTGCATTTTTTTTCTTGGTCGCGAAGTCATGTGCAACCCATAGACAACGTTCCTCCATGCCTTCCTGTCCTCTTCTATCCCCCCCAAGAGTCCATTTAAGATCACACTGACTGCTTCAGGGACACCAACCAGCCATCTATGGAGATTCTCAATATCCAAGTTATGGTTGTCCCAAATGTGCTTTTCCAGGCAACTGGACTTTGTTGGTTTTTTCCTTGAAAACCTATCCCTTCTCATCCAAGAAGCTTCTTCATTTCTGAACTTAACATATTCAGTTTCAAAACATTTTCAAGGAACAAACCAAGAAAGTCCAGTAGCCTTTTGGAAAACCACCTTTGGGAGAAAATAAGATGGGCCTACTGCCTTGATCCCAATTAAATAGAAAATACCCATGGAAACTATACAGTTGGCATATGACTACCAAGATAAATGTTCAGTTAAACACATAAGCTATGTTAGATAATAATGTAGAGTGGAGCTAACTTCTTGGCTTAGTTACAACTTGTCAGACCTGGAAGGTAGACAAAAACAGGAAACTGACTGCATGGGATGAGTAGCAATATATTATATTGAAATAGGCAACTGTAGTAACACAATGTTGCAAGTCTGCCACATTTTCTGTATTTTTAGTTTCTCTTCTTAAACTAATCTTAGGCTTGTAATACTTGCCTTCCTCCTCAGATACAAGATAAGCATCTCCGGCATCTGATAGCCTGATCATCTTTTCTAAGCTGTTTCCAAAATTATCCTACACCACTTATTTGTTAACTAACTAGCCGCTGTGAGACCAAGTGCACCTCCAAAGAAAAAAACAGTTAAGATTACAATGTGAAGCCAAAGCCTCTTTTTATATGCTTCTGCGCAAGCATTGATGATTTGATAATGATTGCTAATTTGACCTTTCCTGCAGGTGTTCTAAATGAACTGGGCCCACACAGAGATTAGCTGACGTTTTTGGCCCAGAGGAGGCACTGTTGTAAAGATTAAATTACTTCCATCTTACTTTTGAGTTGCTGTTTCTAGGTAGAACATAGTCTGCCTCTGTAGATTCAAATTTGTTTTTGTATTCAGTTTGGTAAAAAGTAACGTTTGTATATATTTCTGAGTTCTAAAACTACTTTAAGATTTCATGAATCGTGATTGCAAAAATAAATTAGACCAATTGGACAATGAGGCTAAGAAGTATCTGCTTCTTATATATGTAAGTATATTCAGTATTTTTTGAATCTTAAAAAGCTTCTCATCAGTAAAGAGTGTCTGCAAAAATATTCAACCCCCTCCCCTCACAAATAATGTTTGTACTGGTGTAAAAAAAATCCCTTAAACTAAATGAAAATGCACCAATATAAAACTTCAACAGCTACCATTATGTGGCAATATCTTTTCTCTACCATGTTCTCATGGTGCTGTCATCTGCCCCTTAGCTCATGCCTAAGGCAACCTTAAGTTACTCTGAATGATTCTGGTATTCAAGTACTGTAGGTTTTCCCCCCCTTGAAGATAAAATATTCATCAATCATAACAAAGATGGTATGGATATTGTCCTAGTGCATAGCTCTTTAAACTTGGCAACTTTAAGACTTGTGGACTTCAACTCTCAGAATTCTCCAGCTGGAGAATTCTGAGAGTTGAAGTCCACAAGTCTTAAAGTTGCCA